CCATATGGTATGGCATGGTAAAATCAAATTACCACATTTTACCACATGGTAATGCACTGTAAAATCAATTACCACACATGCCACTTCCAAAATACCATATTTTACAACATGGTATGGCATGGTAAAATAAATTACAACACTATACCATATGGTATGGCATGGTAAAATCAAATTACCACACTATACCATATGGTATGGCATGGTAAAATCAATTATCACACAGAACCCTCACATTTAACTTCCAAATTACCACATTTTACCACATGGTAATTCACTGTAAAATCAATTACCACACATGCCACTTCCAAATGATCATATTTTACCATATGGTATGGCAAATGTAAACTCAATTATCACACAGAACTTCCAAACTACCACACTATACCACATGGTATGGCATGGTAAAATCAGTTATAAAACAGAACCTTCACATTCAACTTCCAAAAATAGCACATTTTACCACCTGGTTTGACATGATAAAATCAAATTACCACATTATACCACATGGTATGACATTGTAAAATTAATCCAACAAACCAAAAACCAATCCAAAAGAACAAAATAGCTTCAACAACTCAACCAGCATCAACCATTCATTCAAATAATCCTCTAATAAAACTATTACAGCTTCAGCCTTAAACTTTCTTCAAAGCCTTCAAATTCTCCTCCTCAAGCCTGCTAGTTTTTCTCTTCTTCTTACTTACAGCCCTTGCAGCCTCCGCAACTGGAATTGGTCGTTTCGAAGGCTTGAATGAATCTTTTTTAGGCTTAAACCCCTTCACTTTTTGGACCGGTACATCATCTATACCAAGATACCAAAAACCAAACTACAATCAATGACAGATATATATAAAATCATTCTCCTCAAAAAATGCATATATCAAAACACAAAACTCTAAACAATTAAAAACTTACTGTCACCGTTAGAAGACGTGCTTGTTCCAGCAGGTTCAGTAATCGATAGGGCTTCACACTTTTTGATCAAATCAGTCATGAAGGCCATGGCTGATTTATACAAATCATCATCCAATGCAACCCTGCTGATCATTGATGCAGAAACAGCTGACAGATTGAAAAGACGAGAACGGTATTTCGATGGACTATCAGTAGACGGAACTTCAAAAGAAAAGTTCCCTCCAGTTTTCGCTGCCCTTGTCCACCGCTTCAAAATCAAACTGCTAGGAATGTGCTGGAACTTCAGATTGCATGTTGTAGATCACAACATATCATATCCCTTAATTTGATGCTTACAGATCATACCACTTGACTCCCACTTACGGCAGGAACACTTGATTTCACCGTTTTCAAAATCAACCTTCAACACCCTACTATCCAACCTTGTAAGGTCATCCTCCAATATGAAGACATCAAACAGTCCTACATGTCCTTCTGGTTCTATCTCCGTATTGGAAAAAATATTATACGCAAGAGATTCCTTGTACTGATCCAGGAAAAACTTGAATATCTTCGGCGTATACACATTAGCAACTTGCTTCACAATAGGGCTAGTAGAAAACCGAGAATCAGCCAACCTAGATAAGGCGTAGTACTCTTCCTATTCTTCAGCATCCCTCTTATTATCAAGCATCCTCTCAAAGTGCACAAAGAACCTACTAACGCTAAACTCTGACTGCAAGTAATGTCGAATATTACTATTGCAGCACTCACTTAGCTGGGTACTCTTCATTCCCGCACCAAAATGACAATTCACCCAGGCTGAAGACCACTTCGTCCTGACTTTGTAAATGCCCTGTAACCAACTGTGTCCCAAAGGTCCCTTCCCAGGAAAACACTTCTCAATCATCTTCTTCCAATTATACTCAAAATCATCCTCATCATCAGCATTATACATCAAATAACTAAGCTCACGAAGGAAGTCAGAGTCACACAAACTTCCCAGATTAACAACTGCATTCTGAGCAATATGCCATGTACACAACCCATGAAAACAATCTGGGAAAACAGACCTTATACCAGCAGCAATTGCAGCAGCCTGGTCAGTAAACATTGATAACGGTCTCACACCTCCCATGCATTTCAAAAACTGATCGAAAAGCCATTCAAATGTTGCCGTTGTTTCATCATATAGAAGAGCAGCCGCAAAGACAGTCAGTTGGTGATGATTGTTGAAACCAACAAACAAAGCTACAAAAACATAACAAAATGTGAGTAAAAACAATTCTACCAACACATACCATGTGGTAAAAGGTACGAATAACAATAATACCAACCCATACCATATGGTAAAGACTCATACCATGTGGTAAAGACTTCTAAGAACAAAAAAAACAATCCATACCAGACTACCATATAGTACACACTTCTAACAACGCAAAAACCACCACAAATAACCTTGTTACCAACCCATACCATATGGTAAAAGACTTTTAAGAACAAAAACACAATGCATACCAGCCCATACCATATAGTACAAACTTCTAACAACCCAAAAACCACCTCAAATAACCTTGTTACCAACACATACCATATGGTAAAATACTTTTAAGAACAAAAAAGCAATCCATACCAACCCATACCATATGGTACAGACTTGTAAGAACAAAAAAAAAACATGATACATAATTATAATAATAATAATCATACAAACTAACAAAGACAATAATAAACAACAAACTAGAAAACATACCTAGTGGCCGATACTCTTTGTTAGTCCGGTAAGTAGTATCAAAACTAATTGAATCACCAAAATAATGATAATCCATCCTCATCTTCCCATCTGCCCAAAAATTACTAGCAATGTTCTCTTCAACATCAACCTCCACCTCATGAAAGAACCCAGGATCCAGCTGTGCTTGACGTCTAAAGTATTCAAGCAATGCAGTCGCATCACCATACTCCATTGATAACGTCCTAACCGTTCGCAGATGGTTCTTCAAATCATTCTTTGTGAACCCAACAAACTTCCGACCACCACCAGCCCTACTAATTGCATTATACGAAGAAGTCACACCAATACCAGCAGCATCATTCACCTCTGCCAACATCTTATACACAGGAGCCATTCGTCTGCTGGATCTCACATAGTGACGCAGAGACTCAGGAATCATGTCATGGTTGTGCACATTATACCAACGATAGATCTTGTATCATTTAAACTCTTTAAACCACCTCAGTCGTATATAAGCACCATTACATCCACCCCTGAGTTCTGGAACATTACGAACACGAACTGTCGTATCAACAACACCTGCATTATCAGGGTTATTCTCGCTACCTCTTTTCCAACCTTCCTTATTGCAACAATACTTGATATAATATACAGCTGAAGAACCACCATTGAGCTTCGGACACGCTGATTGGTTATAAATCCTCACACCAAAACCTTCATGATTCCCATAATCAACATAAAAATTATATGCATCATCTGGTGTATTGAACTCTAAGTCCTTCCAAGAATCACGAACAGTAGGATCTATACCATTGAAACCTACAAACATTATGAAACAACATATTAAATGGATTCCACACCACAACAGTATGAAATCTCAATGTATACCAATAATTACAGCCATGATACAAGAGTTACCACCATGGTATGTCATGGTAAAATCAAATTACCACACTATACCATATGGTATGGCATGGTAAAATCAAACTACAACACTATACCACATGGTATGGCAAGGTAAAATCAAATTACCACACTATACCATATGGTATGGCATGGTAAAATCAAACTACCACACTATACCATATGGTATGGCATGGTAAAATCAATTATCACACATAACCCTCACATTTAACTTTCTAATCACCACATTTTACCACATGGTAATGTACTGTAAAATCAATTACCACATGATAAGGCATGGTAAAATCAAATTACCACACTATACCATGTGGTATGGCATGGTAAAATCAAACTACCACACTATACCATATGGTATGTCATGGTAAAATCAATTATCACACAGAATCCTCACATTTAACTTCCTAATTACCACATTTTACCACATGGTAATGTACTGTAAAATCAATTACCACATGATAAGGCATGGTAAAATCAAATTACCACACTATACCATATGGTATGGCATGGTAAAATCAATTATCACACAGAACCATCACATTTAACTTCCTAATTACCACATTTTACCATATGGTAATGTACTGTAAAATCAATTACCATATGATAAGGCATGGTAAAATCAAATTACGACACTATACAAACTTCAATAAACAAACAAATTTGTATATCTTACCTCCTGATTCACCAGAGTTAGCTGAATGATCAAATCCAAGATCGATAGATGAAGAAGCAATTCCAACAGCACTAGATGAAGAACCAGATCCTACAACGCTGGTTGAAGAACCAGATCTATCAATTGGAACAACATCGCCACAATTTACGTAACTCATCTCACCAGAATACTGCAAAAACACCAAAACACAAAGAACATAACACATGAACAAGCTCGATTAGCTAAACATAAACAAGCTCGACTAGCAGCAATGAAAAAACTCCAACGAAACCAGAGATCAACAGAAAACTCGATTAGCTAAACAGGAAGAATCAAAAAAACTAATATCTAACCTCGTCGTCGATCAATTATGGAGAATCAAAAAAGATTCGCCGTCCCCTGTTTCGCAGCGGCTGCTCGCAGTTTCTCTCTACAAAAACCGAATCCAACTCGCGCACACGTCGATCAATTATGGAGAATCAGAAAGCTCGATTCGAAGCTGCTGCTCGCAGTTTCTATCGCCGTCGATCAACCATGGAGAATCGCCGTCCTTGTTTCTCAGCTGCTGCTCCCCTGCTCGCAGTTTCTCTCTCCAAAATCCGAATCCAACTCGCGCACACGTCGATCAATTATGGAGAATCAGAAAGCTCGATTCGAAGCTGCTGCTCGCAGTTTCTATCGCCGTCGATCAACCATGGAGAATCGCCGTCCTTGTTTCTCAGCTGCTGCTCCCCTGCTCGTAGTTTCTCTCTCCAAAATCCGAATCCAACTCGCGCACAGAAAGATTCGCAACGGACAAAAGGGGAAACTCATTAATTCAAATAACGGACAAAAATGCCCCTGACCATCCCGCTTCAATGACAGCCACACGATCCGTCCGCCCCAGATCAACGGTTCCTAGGTGGTTACTCACGGGTGAGTAACAAAGGGTTACTCACCCTATCCTAAGCCAAGCTATACCATCCACAATGAGATGATGCGGATTTCATATTGTGACCAAAAGGGACGACTCGTTCACTGCCTTCTTGGCTGGACATTTCCAAAACAGCATTTGAATTTGAATATACATTACAAGACATGATCCTTTGTCTATTACTTATATATATAGAATGGAAAAGATGAAACACATTGCTCCATTTGAAGCTTACACATCACATATTCCTCCCACACAATTCAAACAGAAGCTACTTGTGATAGCACCATCGATTGGCATTGACACAAACACTCAGTTACTACCACCAGCATTACCAAAGAGGTAGCCTAGAGAAGAGCCACCGCCCGGTGCAGCATGAACCTTGGTTGATGGTCGATCCTGGAGACATCAGCAAAACAAGAGAGTTGTCAAAGGCTATATATGAACTTGGCTAATTCAGATAAGTAAGCATTCCCGGATCACAGCTCAGATCTCCATAAATCCAATCTTAATAGAAACAGTCACTTCATTGGAAACAACACAACTAGCAATCTAAATAAAATCTAGGATCCATGACATGGACAAATATGAAGGGCAAGGTGATGTCCCATGAACAATTTCAACTACATTCAACCATGTCATAATAATAAAAAAGAGACTTGGAGGTATGATCATTAGTCATTACCGTGAGGAAGTTGCCAGTGTTCTGGCCATCAGCACGCATGTAGTTATTTGAGGAAGTGCTGTTGATGCCAGCAGGGATTTGCTTGGTGATATCAACTGGCGGGGCAGCAGGTTTCACAGCGGCTGGCCTAACGCTTACAGTCTCGGCTTCGACTGGTGCTGCATTTGAGAGGCTGCTAGCTTTGACAGGTTTGGGAGATTCACCACTTCCAAACAGATATCCCAATGAGCTCTGCCCTCCACCACTGCTCACTCCACGACCCATTTCTGAAAACCATGAACAAAAGGCTATCATCAATTGCCATGAGGGTTAAAACACATATCACCAACAACTTAAGTACTGAATTGAAAACGTGACGATGCCGTTCCCAGTAGATCGCATTGAAGCTAATCTAAGAAGTACCTCAAAACTCAAAATTGGAATCCTAGATAGTTTGAGGATTCAATACACATCTAACCACCAATTAATTGATCAGAAGTTAGCATAATTGGGCCCCATATCTCGTAACGGAGCGTGGCATTTTCTCTAACCTACTTGGGGAACACAGATTCACAATGTTTGATGAAACTACAGAACACTCAGCAAAAAAAACATAGTACAGAATCAAAACTAAAAACAGCCCAGGAAATGCAAACAGAAAGAAACCCATAAAGATCGCGCCTTTTTCGGTGTTTTCAATTCCCATCTAAAAGCATTCACTTGGGTATCCCTTCAGAATCTACATTCCAGAGTATCAGGGAACACAGATCTAAACCCATTTCAGTTAACAAAGTGGGAAACTGAACCCAAATCAGCAATTACATGATTAAACCACCGACAAGCTCCATGAACACGCAATTGTCGCCATCCAAAGAACAACAGCAAAAGAGACAATGGGTTTCGAAGGATTTACCTTGGAGCAGAGAGAGCGAGAGAGATATTTGGAGATCAGATCCTGAGAGAGCGTAGGTATGAAGACGAGGAGCAGTGGGAAGAAAGAAAAGTGAGGCTGCGCCTGCTGCTACTAATGAGAGAAGAGGAGAGGGAGAGGTTAAAGTACAGAAGATAGAAAACGAAATGCCAACGTTAAATAGAGAACTTTGTTGGTGGGTTAAGTTAAGTTGGCAAAAAAAAAAAAAAGTTTTAAAAACAATGGGAATAAATAAAATCGGGACGAGAAGTAGAAAACAGTTTTCATGAGTTCTTAAATTTCGAATTTTAGATTTGTTTAGTCCGTTGCATTTCCGGTTGAGAGGGGAATAGAGGAAGTGATTGCAATGCGACCGACGAGTATATCAATACTAGTGTGGACCCCGGCCAGTTGGCCGGAGGAAGGTAGGATGGCAATGGGTCGGGTTGGGTCGGGTTTTGCCAAATTCAAATTCATGGGTTTATCCGTGAAAAAAATTCGGGGTAAAATCCACTGGGTTTGAAAAACTCAAACCCAACTCAACCCCCTGGGTATCCGCGGGTTCATGGGTACCCACATGTTTTTGTCTTAAAAAATTTACAATAACAAGTTGCTATCAAAATTAAAGTCAAATATCAATCTCTCAATACAAATTATCCATATATAAAATACCATTCTAGAAAATTCAAGCAAATAACAAATTATCCATAAATAACATGATTAATTGAAAGCTTCTTCCTTTCAATTAAGTTTCTTCACTCTCCACTCGATAACATCAACTTCATTCTACACAATTAGAAAGAAAAAATTAGACATGTCTCCACAAACATAAAAAAGATAAGTTGTTTAGAATATTAAATATATCGAGAAAATTAATTATATGGGTGTGGGCGGGTACCCATGGGTCGGGTTTACCTAAACCCAAACCCAACCCAACCCGATGAATATTGAACGGGTTTAAACCCAAACCCGGCCCAAAACCCGTCAACACGGATTTTACCCGCGTTGACCGAGTTGGGTAGGGTGGGTACCCGTGGGTTCGGATTTTGTTTTCATCCCAAGAGGAAGGTGAGGTATGAAATTTGATAATGTAATGGGGTGTATAACTTATTGTTGTATAGTTTTTTTGGGAAACACGTGATAAAAATAGTGAATTTTAGCAGGAAAGAGACATTAATGATGCAACAAATCAAAAATCGGCCTTATGAACCAAAATCAAGTACCTGTTACCTTGTGAAACAATATTGTTTCTGGTAATATGATGAGGTGGAGTAAGTTTTATAGAAACTGAATTCCAGAAAATCGAATAAAAAATCGCCTATCCCGTCGGTTTTCGGGAAATGAGCATCTCACAATCGTTGCTAGCTTTTACTCGGCCCGTTGGCCCATTAATTTGGTTTATAAAACTTTCATCTTGTCGTCATTGTGCTTTCTGGTTTTTTTCAGGCTATGATAAAATCTAAGGAAATAAAGAACGAACAACACGATTTGGGATAGGAACCGTCGTTGTCGTATCCCTAGAAAATGGTGGTAAACACGGACTCACCTGCCAAACTGGTTTGGATTGAGATTTTTATCGGGTATCAGGGAACCATGTGATTATAAATTAGACTTGATCAAAAGGGGCCAAAACATGAAATGCAGCCTGTTTGACCGACCCATGCCAAATTCTAATTATTCTTTACTTTTAAACTTTTTATTTGAAAATAAAAAATAGTGAAAGAAAAGAGATGACTGCCATTTGCACATCACTTATTCGGGAATAAAACCATAGAAATTCAAAAGGAACTGAAAATATTAGGATCGTTTTAATGTTTAAAATAACCAAATAGATCTTTCTGTTTAGTTTTTTACTAACAAATACCAAACGATTCCCTATAAAATACACTATGATTTGATCATTATGATATCAAATAATTATATAATATATATTTGAAATGATAAAAATTGGACTAATTGGGTTGGTCGAGGTTGAACCATTGAATAACTTTAAAATACATTATATTTTAGCCACTAAGATATAAAATAATAGCATAATATATTATGCCAGACAAAATAGCTTGTTTTAGAATGTCAAACCAATGATGTTCATTTGTTTTACTTGATGTCCAAATCCCGTGTAGGTCAAACCAATTCAACTTTTTTATTTTATGGTTAGCGGTTAGCCCATTAGATACCATGCATTAGTTTATTGTTAAATTTTTTATTTTTAGCAATAAAAAGAAGTATTGTTTTTGCCTCTTCATATATATTTTATCACCACGGAAAAATAAAAGGGCTTAATGAAAAAATTGACACTCTTGAACCCGTTTAAATCCGCATGTGTACGGTAAGTTGGCCCGTTCCACAGAGGAAAGAGGAAAAAATTGACACTCCCTATTCTATCATTCCTACAAACGCTCCTGGAGCAGGAAATTTGAAATGGGGGAAGGGTTTTTTCCTCTCTGCTATTATATCTTTTTAATTTAAAAAGATACAACAAATGTACTTAGTGTGATTGGTTATGATCTTTACTTTTCCTTAAAATGGTCATGGTTCGAATCCCACTATGTGTCTTTTTTATGAATTAAAAAAAGTAAGTGTGAAGACCAAAATGTCCTTCCTATTTTCACTCTCGTTGCAGGAAATTTGAAATGGGGCTCCCGTTTTTCCCTTCGGTGTATTATATTATGTGTAGATTTATATTCATCCCGTACTAAGAGCATGTCAGGATGGATGGGAATACGGGGTGTTCATTTTATTTGCAAAAAGAGTAGTGATATTTTTCTTTTTCATAATAAGATATAGAAAAAATACTTTATATATGAATGAGAAATATAATAAAATAATAAATGGGTCTAAATAATTGAAAGAAGAGTCTTCAAACTTTTTTGAGATTAAAATATAACTTTAGAATGGCCGAAAGTAGAGAAATACAGGTAAAACATTAGTCGAACAGGTCGAGAACATGACGAGGCAGGTCTGAAGCAATACTCATGTCTCATCTCACGGTACATCGGGTAGGGTAATACTTGCCACAAACTGGTGGGGGGGGGGGGGGGGGGGCAAGTTGGGTCGTGCGGGTCAGATCAGAAGTTGGGTAGTGTTAGTACCATGCATAATTATAGCCCTTCTACTATGCACTAAAGTATTGGTGATTGGAGTTACAAATTGAACTTGTATCATAACATTAAGGGTTAATTCCACTAGCAAATTCAGACTACTCAAAAAGTGTCATTTGTGTTCTAAACTATTCAATATGACAAATCTGGCACGAACTATTTTTTCGTTAATATTGACCGCTAGTATTTAACAGAAAATATAGTCAGCATCTATGTGGTTTGTGTCAGATTTGTCATATTGAATAGTTTAGTACACAAATGACACTTTTAGAATAATTTGGGCTTCCTAATGAAATTAGCCCTAACATTAAAGATATAAATTCTTTTGTACCATTAAAAAATTGTGTCACAAATAAATTTGAACAAAAAGATATAAGGATAAAATAAAATTGTATCATTACTTTAAAAATACAAATTCAATTTATACCATAAAAATCATATTTATAGACCAACACACCCATACTATATATCACTACAACAAATTCGGCCTATTATGACGAGGCAATTTTGTCATATTAGATACTCATTTTGTCATATTAGGTATAATATGACAAACAGTGTTGTCATAAAGGTTTGTCATTTTAACGCCGTTAGGATAGGTCAAATGTGACAAAATTTAAAACAAGGTTACGAACAAAGGATTGGTCTAGTGGTAATACTACTAGCCTTGAACCTGGAGGTCCTAGGTTCGAATCCCTTCAGTAGTACCTAATTTCAAAAAATAACCTATATCACCCTTATCTAAAAAAATAAATTTAAACAAGGTTGTCACATTTGCTTTCAGTATAGCTGAGATTCTGGTATTCTATTGTGACAAACAGAGATGTTATGACGACATATTTTGTCATTAGAGTTGTCATAATCTAGTGATTTTGAGAGAATTGTTCGTCACATTACACGATTATATTTCGTTATACGTGTATATTGTGACGACTACATTTTGTCACAAATGTTTGTTGTGACAACATTATTTTGTCATACATATAATGACGAATATATTTGTCAAAGGTGCGTTCTATATTATGATGACATTATTTTAGGCCTTATATCGGTCCTAAAATATTAATAGGGCTAATACCACTGGGAAACCCGAACTATTAACTTTGTGTCATTTGTGTCCTAAAGTATTCGATATGAAATTTGTGTCACAACGTATGATAGTTGTGTGTCATTTATGTCCTGACGATTTCGTTGACCGTTATAGATAACGGTTGACCAAACGGAAGTCAACATTAACATTGACTTTTGTTGACGTGGCAGCCACGTAGATGCCACGTCAATGACACCTCATATTTTTAATTAAAAATTAAATAATAGAGTATTATAAAAAATAAAAAATAAACCCTCATAAGCTTTCCTCTTCTTCTTCTAATCAAATTCCGCCGATGAAGAAGGGAATGGCGGCGGCATTCTCGTCTTCCCCTCCGCCACTCTCACCGCCGCCCTCACCTCCTCGTTCCCTTCCATACAAGTCGCCAGGCTTTCGCCAAAATCGGTGAGATGGGAGGCGTCGATTCCTTCGTCATTCATCTGTATCTTCTTCTCCAGGAAACCCAAAATCCTTTCATTTGGGGTCCATCCTCTGCCGTCCCTTTCCTCCGCTTCTCTTCCCATCGACCTTAATCATCTCCTCCCAGAATCTATTCTAGAAAAAAAAATCTCTTGATTTAAGATTTATCGAGCTAGAAACAGTCAACCCTCTCTTCATTCAAGATTTATCGAGCTTGAATGGATGGAGTCGGTCGGGGGAGTATTGAAGCCAAAAGAGTTTTAGAAAAGGGAAGATATATTGAGAGAAAGTATGCAAGGCAAACGAAGGGTCCCAACTGATTAATCGACCGAAATGGCAGATCTGATCAGCCAGAACCCTTCACGGAAAGTGTACCTTCCTCAAGGAGAATAAAAGACGACATGCAATTAAGGAGCTGCAAAGATCGAAAAAACAAAAAAGTGAAAAACATAGGCAAGTCGAGAGCTGCAATTGAGGAGCAGGGGAAAGGACGACATGCAGGGGGAATTGAGATCCAAATCGGCGGCGGGGTAGCAAAACCGTGGGGTTGGGGGAGAGAAGTCAGGCGATGAGGACTGAAGAGTTTTCTAGAGAGGTGATTGTTAATCGTTGTTATTGGCTCGGCTGGTGGAAGAAAGACTGGTGGAGCAGAATCGGAGTCAGAGCGGCCTCACACACAGCTTCTACTTCGTGCCGCTCGAGTGCTGCTGTGGGTAGCAATCTCAGAGCTCACCCTACGAACTCAGCAGCGGCGGCAGATGGATGGATGTTCGACTGGCGTGGTTCGAGGGAAGGCGTATGCTCTTGAGTGAATTTGCCTGTAGCAAGTGGACGATCGGCTACTTCCGGTGAATCGACATTGAAGCACAAGCTTCCGCTCTGATTTCCCCTGTCTAATTCTCTCTTTCTCTCTCTTTCGGCGGAATCCAGAAGGGTTACGGGGAAAAGGTGAAGAGGAAAGTCCAATTTGGGAAAGTGAACGAAATTTCCCCTTTTTTAATTTTTCTTTTAATTTCCATTTTTTGTTATTTTTTCCTTTTAATTTCCACGTCAGATGCCACATCAGTGCTGATTAGACTTTCTATTTAAAACTAACGGTCAACGCCAATCAACCATAACGAAAAAATAGTTTGGGACACAATTGTCATATCGAATACTTTAGGATACAAATGACACAAAGTTAATAGTTCGGGTTTAGAACCACTGTACAAAGAAAGATGCCAAGATTCAACTGAAAGCCACTCACCCTATTTACAGAAGGATTCAGAGAAGAAGAAACCAGTCATGCCTAATAACATATATACAAGCTCCCTTGCCTTGTGTATCAAAATGTGACCATCATCTGCATATTTTCACACTACACTTTTCCCTCACAAAAACAAATGTTAGTACTGTTTGTGACAATGTAGAGCATGCAACTCCTTGATTGCAGCCTGCACAGGGCACTACCAGAAGCATGACCTGAAATAGAGAAACCAAAGAAAAAAATACTAAAATAGTATGACAAGGGAAACAGAACTAGTAAGACACAATCACACAACACTATGACAGAACATGGCTTGCAATCAACTAGCCAAGTTTGCTAAGCTACAATCTTGCTCAAACGAATTACAGCAGCGACTTTGATAAAATTACAATAGCAAACATCAAATAGCCACTGCCACAAGTTCCAGTTCTGCTTTTGTCAACTGTCCAGGTTCCAGTTCTGATTTTATCAACTGTCCAAGTTCTAGTTCTGATTTCGAGTGTCTCGTCTGCAAAATTGGCTGATCTGGACATCGTCCTCATCACAGATACATACACTACTACTACTGAAACAAAGAAAATGAAGGACATTGAGGTAGCCATTTCAGGTTCAAATTCCTACTCCCCATCATTTGTGTCAACCATTAAAGTCATAAACCATAGAGAATGACAGTTTCAAGTAAAGAGCATAAGAACAGACGTTAGCCTTTTAACCACATTCAAGGGTGCAAAATATCTAACACCATCTACTGCTAAAGAGGCAACCCTACAGTCTCACAAACCCAACAGAAGAATGAATCCACTAAATCACTTTCACCCGTTCACCAAAGAGCAGTTATCACAGGAACAACCAACCATTGGATCAATTCCTTTCTCTCCAGCATGATAGCCAATCCCATTTTGAAGGTTAAAGAGAAGCAAGAAAAATGCTCAGAGCCCAAAAATGGGAAATCAATTCCTATGTAAAACCCCGAATCGATTGAGAAAGAGGTTTTACTAGAGTTTATAGTTGAGCGGCTGGTTTGCATATTACCTTCTTCCACCTTCTTCTTTACGTGATTCTCCGAGCTTCCTGGAGGTAACCCATTTTTTAATATCCGGAGCTTCGCTTCTCAAAGCTCCGAAGACCGTATTTGTAGTGTTTCCGGGCGTAGCAGTTGCAATTGACAGAAAAAGAAGTGATGAAGATGGCGGCCTGGAGCCATCAATTCACGCCGTGAGAAGAAGAAGCGATGGAGATGGCGGCCTGGAGCAGTCGATTCGCGCCGGGAGAAGAAAAAGCGCTAGAGAACTTCCACCTGTAGCCGTCAATTCGCGCCCGCTGGCCGGGAGAAGCCTTCGATGTGGAGTCGTCGAAGGCTGAAGACGCTTCGATCTGGAGAAGAGGATTCTGTAACAGACAGACTTAATTGTAAATAGCAGAAGTCTAGTGACTGTTTTGGATATTTGACCAACGGGTATATAATCCCGCTCTGTAACGGCCTAACGACTAACTTGGTTAATACAACAACTTTTCCCTCTCTCACCTCTCTCTCTCTCTCTCTCTCTCTCTCTCTCTCTCTCTCTCTCTCCTACTTTACTCTCTTCTTCCACTCGCCAAGACTAATCCGACCCAGGACATCACAAATTGGTATCAGAGCCAGTCTTGGCCATGGCGACGACTGTTCGTCAGCTCGACGATCGCCTGAATTCCATCTCTTCTCGCACTCTGGAGGTCGAAAATGCTGTCACTGCTCAGATCGCCACTTTGGAGGATCAGAATCGCACTCAGTCTAATCAGCTCAATGAGTTGATGGCTCGTTCCGAAGGGCATTCCCAGCAGTTTGCGACGCTCACGACTCGTCTGGATGGCATGGAGGATCGCGCTGCAACTCGATTCGCTCAATTCGATCATCTTCAGCAAAATGTTCAAGAAATTCTTCGTCGACTAGAGGCGGTTCAGCAGCGGCCAGAGGTCTTCATCGCCGGCGAGGGACATCCACAGGGAGGCCGTCAGGAGGATCGAGGTTTACTACCATTGCCCAATCCCCGCTACCGTCTTCCAGATCCGCAATTTCAGCTGAATCGAGGACCTCCACCTCAAGTCCGCGAGGTAGAGCAGGAACAGATTCACGTTCCACCACGAGGTAACGCTCAGATTCAATTGCCGAGATTGGATTTTCCTATGTTTGGGGGAGACAATCCTAGGGATTGGACTCGCAAATGCGAGAAACTGTTTGACATGTATCAAGTTCCCAATGAGCAGAAGGTAAGGATGGCGTCGATCTACTTTGAGAAGCGTCCAGACATATGGTTTGAGGGCTGGAAGTTTGATAGGCAGAATTGGATTTGGGAAGATTTTATAGTAGATCTTTGCCATAGGTTTGGTGATCGAGAATATGGGGGAATTGTGGGGGAATTTAACAAACTAAGGCAGAGGGGGTCATTGGTTGAGTACCAGGAGCGGTTCGAAGAACTTAAATCCCAGATGATTAGGTATAATCCTGCCTTAGGTGAGCAATATTTCATCTCCAGTTTCGTGAGTGGATTGGAAGAAGAACTTCGTCCAGTGATTATAATGTGGCAGCCTTAAACCTTGGCTCATGCTTTTCAGCTGGCACAGTTGGAAGAGGCCTCGAATGAAGCAAGAAGGAAGAAGTGGAGGCTTGGTTCTAGCAGTAACACACGCCCACCCTTTCCACCAGCAGGGGCAGGACAGTCTCAAGGTGTCAAGAAGTGGGAAGGAGCAGGAGGGCGACCTAGTAACAACAACAGTGGGAATAAGGGTTCTCAGTCTGTTTCCAATGGAAGAACTAATTTTGCAAAGGCGCGCCTGTTATAAATGTGGGGACAAGTATTATTTTGGCCATATGTGTGATACAAGGAAACAATTGAATGCTTTGCAGGCTGAGGATGAGGAGGTATTAGCTCCTGAAGGCTGGAGTGTGCTGGACGAGGATGACATGGGTGATTTGGTTGCTGATCAACACCAACTAGAGGTGGTAGAAGTGTCAATGCAGGCCTTAAGCAGTGGGGGCCTCTCCAATTCCTTGATTGTGCGTGGTAAAGTCAGAAAGGAGAAGGTCTTTATATTGATTGACACAGGTAGCACACATACTTTCCTTAGTGAGAGAAAAGCTGTAGAATTGAAATGTAAGGTGGAGCAGGCTACTACTCCATTGCGAGTGAAGTTGGCAGATGGGACAGTATTGTTGAGCAGCATGGTGTGTAAGGATTTCTGTTGGGAAATGCAGGATCAACAGTTTGTGTTTGACATGCGTATATTGAGTTTGGGAACAAATGATGTGGTGTTGGGATTGGATTGGTTAAAGACAATTAGCCCGGTCAAATTTGATTTCATTAACCTGCAACTGTTTTTCGACTAGAAAGGGCAGGAAGTGGTGCTACATGGGATGCAGGACATAGCTCAATGCAAGGCAATGTCGGGTAAAAGTCTGCAGAAGTTGTTGAGGAAGACCAAAGACACATTGGTGGGTCACCTATTCAGCATCTCTGTCGAGGTAGCTAACCCAGGTAAGGTTCCTGAATTCCTGGAACCGGTAGTCAATGAATTCAAGGATGTGTTTGGAAAGCCTAAAGGATTACCACCTGCAAGATCTTGTGATCACACTATCCCACTTCAAACAAATGCACAACCTGTGAACTTGAGGCCTTACCGTTATTCGATACCACAGAAGAATGAGATGGACAGGTTAGTGAAAGAGATGATGGAAGCTCAGTACATACAGACCAGTCGCAGTCCATTTGCATCTCCAGTACTACTGGTTTTAAAGAAGGATGGTTCGTGGAGATTTTGTGTAGATTACAGGCAATTAAATGCACTAACCATCAAGGACAAGTTTACTATCAGGGTACCATCAGATAAGGATGCACCCTCCTGATCAGCACAAGACTGCCTTCAGAACGCATCAAGGACACTACGAATTCAGGGTGATGCCCTTTGGTTTGACAAATGCACCAGCTAGTTTTCAGGCTTTAATGAACCAAATCTTTGCTCCCCACCTGAGGCAGTTCATTCTAGTCTTCTTTGATGACATCCTGGTGTACAGCCCAGTCCAGGAGAGCCACAAGCAACACTTATCCACCACCTTAAGCATTTTGAGAGCCAACACATTGTTTGCAAAGCCCTCCAAGTGTTCCTTTGGTCAGACACAGGTGGACTACCTAGGCCATATCATCAATCAGGATGGTGTTTCTACTGATCCAGGCAAGGTAGAAGCTATGGTCTCTTGGCCTATCCCTCAGAATATCAAGGAACTTCAGGTTTTTTTGGGATTAACTGGATATTGGCTAAATTACACGATTGGTCACTCAAATTATACAAATCTTTCATATTTGCCACTTGAAGTACTTTTCTTTCTTATTCGCCACTGACTTTACGAATTATTTCACTGTTAGCACCGACCGTTAGTCTCCGTTTGATTCCATTAATTCCGTCAACTTTTTGATGATGTGGCAAACGAAATTGCTGACTGGACCGTTAACTTAATACCAAGTCAATTTAAAAAAAAATTAAAAACAATAATAACCTTCCCTTCCTCTTCTTTCCTTCTCTCTCCTCGCCCCTCCGTCGCTACTTCTCATTGTCACTCTCCATCTGCTCTCGCCCGACGCTGCCGCCGTCCATAAGAAGAAAACAGCAAATTCTCGTTCGATTAATCTTTGGCGGCTGAGCATAAAGCCAGCGAGCTGATGCGAAATTACCTCGGTCCCGTATGAAAATTACAAGCAGGGGATGGATGGAGGGAAGTCAATGCAAAATACAAAGACCAAATGACGATTGACGACTAGTCGCCGTTAGGAAAAACGAACCAAGACTAGCTTTTCACACTGACATATCTTCCTCAACTACTCAGCACATTAATTCAAAGCAGAGTTCCTTTCATCAATCTTTCTTCAAAAAATGGATTTCACGCTACTGCTCGCCTTCTCCCCCTTTATCCCAATCATCATCGCCTCTGTTTTCGGGGACGAAACTATTGACTATTTCACGGTTTGCTCGCAGCCTTTCGATTGCGGGAACAAAACCAACCTTTCGTATCCTTTCTGGGCAACTAATCACCGACGCTGCCGCCGTACATAAGCAGAAAACCGCAAATTCTCGTCCGATTAATCTCCAGCGACGGGGGAGAGCAGATGGAGAGAGAGACTGAGAAGTAGCAGCGGAGGGGTTAGGAGAGAGAAGGGAAGAAGAGGAAGGGAAGATTATTATAATTTTGTAATTTTTAATTTTTTTTTAAATTGACATGCCATTAAGTTAACTATACAGTCAGCAATTCCGTTTGCCACATCATTAAAAAGTTGACGGAGTTAACGAAATTTAACGGAGACTAACGGCTGGTGCTAACGGTGAAATGGTTCATAAAGTTAGTGGTGAATAAGAAATAAGAGTACTTCGATTGGCAAAGGTGAAAGATTTGTATAATTTAGGGTTAATACCTTATTTTGGCCCGAACTATGACCATGTAATCAATTTTGGCCCGTGGTTTCAGAAATTAACATCCTGGCCTCAACTATGCAGCATATAGACTCAATTGGCCCGATACATGGTTTGACCGACAATTTGGATGGTCAACATCGTTGACCGTTAGTCAACATGCCATGTCATTGCCTCGTCAGCCTAAATATTACTAAAAAATCAAATTCAAATATTTTCCTAATTTATATTATTTATCATTTTAAAATTAACCAAAAAATAAATAAAAAATAAAAAAATGTATATTTTATTTTTTGGGATATTTGAAAATGATAAATTATGTAAATTTAAAAAATATGATATAGATTATATATTTTATTTTTGGGTAATGTTAAATATATAAAATAATTTGATAATTTTGGTTAATTTATAAAATTAATCATTTTCAAATTACACAAAAAATAAAAAATAAATTTATTTTATGTTTTTATAAATTATTTTTTTTAGTATGATTATACAAAATAAAAAATAAAAAAATAGTTTGAATTTGAATTTTTTTAATGATTTTTAGGCTGACGGGCAATGACATGGCGTGTTGACTAACGGTCAATGGTGTTGACCATCCAAATTGACAGTCAAACTAGATGTCGGGCCAATTGAGTCTATATGATACATCGTTGAGGGCTTGAGGCCAGGATGTTAATTTCTGAAACCACGGGCCAAAGTTGATTATATGGTCATAATTCAGGCCAAAATAAGGTATTAACCCTATAATTTAAGTGACCAATCGTGTAATTTAGCCACTGGATATTATAGAAAGTTTGTTCGGAATTATAGTTTGTTGGCCAAACCATTGACATATCTACTGAAGAAGGATTGTTTCAAGTGGTCTCCTGCAGCTGAGGGTGCTTTCCAGGTTTTGAAGAAGGCAATGGTTCAAGCTCCAGTACTATCTCTACCTGATTTTACTCAACCCTTTGTTTTGGAAACTGACGCCAGTGATGTGGGAGTT